CCTGAAGATATGGGATAGTTCCTTGAATTCCTAAACTGAAGCAATCTTCCTGCCTCCTGAGGAGCTGGGACTACAGGTTGTATCATCCGTGCCTGTCATGTGTACAGATGTGAGATACACATGCATATACATGTGAGATACACATGCATATACATGTGAGATACACATGCATACACATGTGAGATACATATGCATATACATGTGAGACATATATATATATATATAATTTCCAGAAAACTTAGAAATACAACACTAGTAACTTCTCTTGGGGCTACGACTGTTTTCAAGGCAGGGTTTCTCTTTGTAGCCCTGGCTGTCCTGGAACTCGCTCTGTAGACCAGGCTGACCTCAAACTCAGAGATCCGCCTGCCTCTGCCTCCAGAGTGCTGGGACTAAAGGCGTGCATCACCACCGCCAGACTTGTAACTTCTTTTCAGGAATCAAATGAAGTTAAGTTGAGGGCTAGTATCAGCTTGGAGACTTCTGTAAGAATTTCCTAAAAGAACTTGCACCTGGGCAGTGGTGGCACACGCCTTTAATCCCAGGGCTCAGGAGGCAGAGGCAGGTAGAGTTTGAGGCCAGCCTGCTCTGCAGAGCGAGATCCAGGACAGCCAGGACTACACAGAGAAACACTGCCTGGATAAAACAAATGAACAACAAAAAGAACATCCTCCTGGGCTAGGGGGCATGTAGCTCAGAGGAAGAGTATTCCCAAAGCCCTGCATCAAATCAACAGAACCGGATCAAAATCAAACAGTCTCCCTTAACCATGGTATTGCCTGGAACAGGGGTATGTGAATATCAGTGGCTTTCCACAACTTAATCCCCAGGCCTCCTCCTAGTTTCACTGGTTGTCCTAGCAACAGCCTTTACAGTGAAGGAGTCCAGCAGAGAGGGGCTGAGTGCACTCAGTGCTTCTATACAAGAATTAAGTCTAAACAACCTAATCAATTATATATAGTTAAAATTGGCATTTGAAATTGAAGCCATAAAGCTTCCCATTAAAGTTTGCACTTTCAATATTGAATACATTTAATGTACTTGTCCATCACTGAATAAGAAAATGATAGACTAGGAAAACAAAACAAAAACAAACAAACAAACAAGAAAAACAAAACAGAAAAACGAAAAGCACACACACTCACAAAAAAGCATTTCCCAGACTTTCCTTGTATCCTGGTTAGTTTTTTTTTGTTGTTGTTGTTTTGTTTGTTTGTTTGTTTGTTTTTTCGAGACAGGGTTTCTCTGTGTAGCTTTGCGCCTTTCCCTGGAACTTACTTGGTAGCCCAGGTTGGCCTCAAACTCACAGAGATCCGCCTGGCTCTGCCTCCCGAGTGTTGGGATTAAAAGTGTGTGCCGCCGCCGCCACCTGGCTCATCCTGGTTAGTTTTAACCAGCTCGACACAAGCCGTGGTCATTTGGGAAGGGGGAATTTTAATTGAGGAAATACCTCCATCAGCTTGGCCTGTAGGCAAGACTGTGGGGGCATTTTCTTGATTAATGACTGACGTGGGAGGGCCCAGATCCCTGTGGGTGGTGTCAGCCCTGGACTGGTGGTCCTGGGTCATATGAGAAAGCATGTTGAGCTAACCGTGGAAAGCAAGCCAGTAAGCCGCATCCCTTCAAGGTCTCGGCTTCAGTTCCAACCTCTAGGTTCCTGCCTCGAGTTCCTGCCCTGACTTTCCTTGGTGATGGACTGTGATTGGGACGTCTAAGCCAAATACATCTTTTCCTCAAGTTGTTTTTGGTCACAGTAGAAAACAAACGAATACACCTTGATTTCATGCTCTGGACACTTTCAAAGATCACAGTTACTCTGAGGGACGTTTCCAACTGTGCCTTTCAGGTGGCACACAGTTTCACCTTGTCCTCGAGGTGAACTGGGCCAGCCAACCATCTCCATTGAGACCTAGCTTTTCCTTCCTTTAAAATTAATACCCATGTCTGGAGAGATGGCTCAGTGCTTAAGAGCACTGGCTGCTCTTCCAGAGGGCCCAGGTTCAATTCCCAGCACCCATATGGCAGCTCACAACTGTCTGTAACTCCAGCTCCAGGGAATCTGACACACTTGCAGACATACATGCAATGTATACACCAATTTTATACACCAATAAAATAATTTTTTTAAAGTATAGACTAGGTAATCTAAACACAGAAGCTAATTTCTTTTTAAAAAATGTTCTTTTATTTTTTTATGTGTATGGGTTTTATGCTTGTATGTGTATCTGAACACCATGTGTGTCCTGGTGCTGTGGAAGCCATAAGAGGGTCTGGGTCCCTGGAACTGGAGTTACAGACAGCTGTCATGTGGGTCCTGGAAATCAAACCCGAGTCTTCTGGATGAGCAGCCAGTGAGCAGAGAAGAAATCATGTAGCCACTGAGCCATTGCTCCAGCCCCAGACGCTAGTTTTCTCACTGTTTTAGAGGCTGCAAATCCCAGAAGAGGGAGCTAGGAAATTCAGTTTTTGGTGAGGTTCCTTTTCCTCACGTAGCAGATAATCACGTCCTTACTGTGTCTTCAATGAGAGATGCTCTTTATGCATCATGGGGAGAGGGGAGAAAACTCTCCTATTTCGCCGATGTCTCTCTTCTTCTCAGGACAGGAGTCCTGTTTGATGAGCATCCCAACCTTAGGACTGAGATGAACTCATTTTGTTTGTTGTTGAGACAGGGTCTCATTTGGCCAAGGTTGGCCTTAAATTTGCCATGTAGCAGAGGGAGACCTTGAGCTTCTGATCCTCCTACCTTCATCTCCCAAGTGCTAGGATGTGCTATCACATTTGGTTTGTGTGGTGTTGGGGAGCAAAGCTAGACCTCATGTGTGCTGGGCAAGCTCTCTACCCACTAAGCGATCCCCCCAGGCTTTCACTAGCCTGTTCAAGGCCTCCTCTCTTCAAATATACTCACAGTAGGGACTTTTTTTCCATCCCAAATTCACATGTTGAAATAGAATGCCTTGTGTTGTGGTATTTGTAATGAGGCCTTTGGGAGGTTGTCATCAGTCCCTTCTAATAAAGGTGACAGAGCCAGGCATGGTAGCACAGGCCCTTAATTCCAGCAGTCAGGAGCCAGAGGCAGGAGCTTCGTGAATTTGAATCTACACAATGATTTCCAGACCAGCCAGAACTACATAGTGAGACTCTTGTCTTACTAAATAGAGAGATCCTGTTTAAAAATATTTGCTAGGCAGTGCCTTTAATCCAAGCTCTTGGGAGGCAGAGGCAGGCAGATCTCTGAGTTCGAAGCCAGCCTGGTCTATAGAGTGATTTCCAGGACAGCCAAGGCTATGCAGAGAAACCCTGTCTCAAAAAAACCAAAAACAACAACAGAAAAATTGGTGGGGCAGGGGCCAGCGAGAGGGCTCAGCATGTAAAGACACTTGCCTCCAAGCCTGAGGACCTGGGTTCCATCCCCAGGGACTCACATGGTAGAAGGACAGAACTGGCTCCCTGAAATTGTTCTCTGACCTCACATTCACACTGGCACATGTGCTCCCACACATGCAATAGATGTAATTTTTAAAAACTGGTGGGGCAGAAGTTTACAATGCAATCCATGCAAGTTTCTAGCACTTTCCACATTGCTTGCCTGTTCTGCTTATTATCTAGTAGCCCCCTCTCAACTCCTCACACTGGGGGTAGGTATCCCGGCAGCAAGGATCGTGTCTCCAGTTCTTGTGGTAACTGAGTTGCTAAGAAGGTGGGTGGCTGGAGGGTCTCACACGGAATATGCAGTGAGGCTTGTGTCTAGGGAAGCCCACGTGAGGAGGAAAGGCCAGCACCACTGGCACCAGGTACAAACATTTTATTTTTCTATAAAGAACGAAATACAAAGAGGCCGGGGAGGGGAGCTAGGCCCAGAGGAGCAGCAGGCAAGCCCCCGGGCCTGAGTTGCCAAAGGAGGCCCGGGCAGCTACCTTAGAATGTCACCGGGCCTTCAGCCTGATGGTGGAGAAGGAGCCGAGGGAAGTGATGTCAACGCCGAAGACGGCCACTGAGGTCACACGAAGCCTGGCTTCATGGAGGCGCGGCGGCAGTTGGGACAACTCCGAGTGCCATTGTTCTGCAGGCATCTGCGGAGGAGGCAGAGGGCTCTGTCCACTCACCCGTGCCAGGCTGTCTCCAGGCTCTGGCTTCTGGCTTCCTCCCTTCCAGTCCAGGGGTCGCTGTCCAGTGGCAGAGGAGGCTCCCCAGGCCTGCCGCTCACTTCCTGCCTGCCCTGCATCAGAGGCTTCCACCCTGGGGCAAGCCTGGCCCTGGATGGGGACGCTCTGAATTCCCCTTGGGACGGTGGTAGGCACAACCCCTTCATGCGGTTGGAGGGAAGGCGGTAAGTGGGTGGGAAGTTCTTAGAACACACCAAGCCTGGGGAACGGCCTCTAACACACCCAGGAGCTTGCCTCTAATATTGTGAGTGTGATCTGGGGGTCGTGCCCACCCAACCTCACCTGAGATGAAAGATGTGGGAGCAGGGCAGGGCCTGCAGACGGCTGTTCTTCTCCCCGATGGACTCGCCACACAGGCCGCAGTAGAGCTCAGTCTCCTCCACACACTCATGGAACCTCACCACGTGCGCGCGCAGCTCCCGCTGCAGACCTTTGCTGCGGTAGATGCCCTCACTCAGGCAGTGCAGCTTGAGCTGGCTCAGCTAAGATGGGGGGGATAGATCCCGTGAAAGGCTCGGCAGAGGGCAGGGCCAGGAAGGTGCTGTCCCTGTCACACCCCTGCCTTGCCGGGGGACCTGGGAGAAAGACCCTACCCACCCCCAAGCCTTGGATTCCCTTTGGACAGAGAGTGGGGGAGATCAGAGACAAGAACATGGGACCCCATGCTTTTGTTTTGAGATAGGGTCTCACATGCATAGCCTAGGCTGGCCTCAAATTCACTATAGAGTCGTGGCTAGCCTAGAACTCCGGATCCTTCTGCCTCCACCTCCCAAGTCCTGGAACAGGTGTGCCCCAGCATACCATGTTTCCGAAGGATTTTGGTGACTAAACTGCTGCTGTTAGATATTAGACATTGCCTCTACACTATCTAATTTGCTTCCTTATTTTTACTGAGTATTCATTTCCGATCAATGTGATAGCTGAGTAAAAACACCAGTGGCTGTGGTCCAGCCCAAAGCAAATACACTTCAACATCTTAGTTGGGCTGTGCACCAGAGCCTACAGAGATGCATGTTTTCTAGAAGACTTTGGGAAACACTAAGCCAAAAGGCTTTAAGGTGTGGATACAATTAAGACATCTGAAGAAGCTGCATATTACTATGGACTTAAGCATTAAGTCACAGCAGCTGGTAGCTGGGGGCCCTTGGGCCTCATCTAAGTATGAGATCACTTACAGGGAAGGCTGCAGCCAATATCTATGAGGATACCCAGCTCTTGATACCAAATACCCAGCTACGGAGAAGTAGAGGACATGGTGAGGGTTGGTATTGTGGCTTTATTTTTTATTTTTATGTTTTGGTTTTTTTTCGAGACAGGGTTTCTTTGTGTAGCTTTGCGCCTTTCCTGGAACTCACTCTGTAGCTCAGGCTGGCCTCGAACTCACAGAGATCCACCTGGCTCTGCCTCCTGAGTACTGGGATTAAAGGTGTGTGCCACCACTGCCCGGCTTAGCCTTATTTTTAAGATTTTAAAAATGTGTACAAGTATTTTTGCTTGCATATATGTTTGCGTACCATGTTCGTGCCTAGTGCCCATGGAAAAGAAGACGTCTAATCCACGGAACTGAAGTTAATTACAGGTGGTTGTGAACTGCCGTGTGTGCTGAGAATCGAGTGAACTTGTGTCCTCTAGAAGAGCAGGTGGTGCTCTTAACTGCCCAGCCATCTCCAGCCCCTGTTAGGGGTTTTTAGTGAAGAATAAAGAGGCTACCAGGGACTCACTGCTCCAAGCTATAAAATGCCTGCCTGGCCCCAGAAATACTCTGGGAGGAAGCTGGAGATCCAGGGGGTTAGGATGGCTGCGAGTACCTTCCAGAGGATCAGAGGAGCTCAGAGCTCTAGCAGGGTCTTGTGTATCCCAAGCTGGCTTCCAACTCACTATGTAGCCAAGGATCACCTTGAACTCTGATTATCCTGTTTCCTCCACCGCCACACCTAATTTCCCTCCTTTGGTTCTTGATCCCAGACCCAGGAGACATAACCATGTCTGACCTTATTTCCAACCTCTTCAGCCAGGTCCTGGGCTTTCTCAATGGCATCCAAAGCCTGGAAGGTGAACAGAGGCCAGAGATGTAGGCAGTCTGACTGCCTTGACTCATAGCAAAGAAAAGGAAAGTGGGCCGGAGGGGGGGGGGGCGGCGTGAGGGGGAATGGGTGGAACCGTTGCTCTGTGAGAAGGCAGGAGAGATTGTATGAGCAAATCACATCCTGCCTTAGTTTATGCAGACACAATGGGCAGAACATGACTGCCTCATCGGACGCTGTGAGACAGCGGAAGGAAATGTAAGAATCTCAGCTCCAAACGCCAGCTTTGGCCCTTTAGAAGCGTTGGGCCCCTGGGCAAGGCATACACTTCTTTGAGTGTAGAGAATTACTAGGAATGTCTGGGCCTCATGGGAACAGAGTGAGGCAGATGTTAAAAAAAGGGGACAAGCCCGGCACCATACTCCCAGTGTTGGCTGAGTAGCCCCAAACTGGGGCCCCAGAGAGAGCTTTCGCTCCAGGAAAGGGCCTGACCTCACCTTGTCCAACACCTTCCTGGCCATCCAGCACTTGGCCACACCCAGCAGCACGTGCACCTGCCCCAGGCGGTTTCCAATCTCCGTCATGATGCTCATAGCAGAGTCGTACCTCGGGAAGGCTGTCTGCAAAGCCAGGCAGGTTGGAATTGAGGTGACCCAGGCCCACGGTCCCCCCTCATCCTGGTGATCTCACCTCCAGGTCCCCCCGGCTCCGGTGGATATCAGCAAAGCAGAGCAGACAGAGTGCCTGCAGTGGCCGGTCACCATGCTGCAGAGCAATCTTCATGGATTCCTGCAAGGGAGGCTGGTCACCGCTCAGGCAAGCTGATCCTACTACGGGGTGTCCCTCAGAAGGGACAGCTAGGGTCACCACCTCCTCAGAACCTAACACATTCTTGCAGTTGGTGAGGCCTCTTGTACTGAAGCACTAAGATCACAGTACTGTCTGACTGATGGAAACTGAGACCCAGAGAGAAGCACCTTTATTGGGATCAGAGGAAGAAGCAACGGGGTTTGAGCCTGAGTGGGGGAACTTCAAGACTCCCTCTATCTTTCTCTCATTTTTTAAAAAAGACAGTGTCTCGTGTAGCCCAGCCAGACCTTGAACTATGTAGCTGAGGATGGCCTTGAACTTCTGATCCTTCACCTTCCAAGGGTTGGGATTATAGGCATACACCACCAAGCTGGATGGGTTTTATGTAGGACTACAGATTGAATGCAGGGC